CCCAGCTACTTGGGAGGCTGAGGCAGGAGACTCGCTTGAGCCCAGGAGTTGGAGGTTGCTGTGAGTGTGATGCCATGGCACTCTACCCAGGGGATAGCTTGAGGCTCCGTCTCAAAAAAAAAAAAAAAAGAAAAAAGAAAGTACTGAAAAGAAACTAGTAAAAAGTATTCTCTTGAAACACCAAAAAATGAATTTCTCCTAAGGATGATGGAGAAAACAAAGACTGAGAGTAAGAAAGGAGATGTGAGTGAGAAGCAAAGTCCCACCACTGCATGAGAAGGTCTGCAGGGGCTGCAGAAACGGGCACATCGTCCAGGGCAACAGGTCTGTGGCAGACAGCTGGGAGTGGCTGGCAGTGGCTCTGAGGGTGCGATGGTGAGCCCTTGGGGACTCTGCACCTACCCAGCCCACCTCCCCTCCAGAACCTACATGCGCTCAGCTCTCCTTGGCCCCTGGGCTCTACATTGCTCCCAGTCCTTACCCCCAACTCCTCTGCCACCTTCTGCCACTCCAGGTGGCCATGTGAGGCTGCGATCACCTTCAGCTGTTCCACCTCCTCCCCATTCCACTCTTGTTTGTTGATGCTTGGGTGCTCAGAGTTCTGCCAGAACTTGCGGATCTCTTCTGCGCCACGGCCACCTTCAAACTGCCCAACAGACAAACTCAGCCTTACAGGGCTGACCACCCTAGGAGCACCCCAGACAATGCTCCAATCTGAGCCATCACTCTGTCAGCTGGTGGCTTCCATAGTGGGGGGTAACGAGAGCCTTTGTCTGGCTCCCTAGGCCTCGTGCTGCCAAAAGTGCACTTTTGGTTCCAAAGGCAAAGCCAAGAGCCTTTGATATCATCCATCTCAGAAAAGAGAGGCACCTGCATCAACATGGGAGGGCCCCACGAATCCACCACTGCTGAACATGCACTCTCCCACAGAGTGGGGAGCTGGGCAGGTGGGGCCTTACTGCCCAGTTCCAACCCATGCTCCAGTTCTGAGGGACAGTGTTATAGGCTGCTTGGGGCTCCAACCTGCTCTAACTCACATTAACATTGGAAATCTTCTCCCAGTCATGGCTGTCCAGCCTGTCTCCCAGCAAATCCTCCTCTGGGAGCTGGCTGAAGGGACAAGAGCATTGTGTCATGTCTGGCCAATAGGCTCTCCCCTGGGCCCTCCAGGAGACCCGATCTCACTTGATGCCTTTGACTTCCTTTTCGGCTTCCCGAATCTGCTTCTCCAGCGCCTGTCTCTCCAGCTCACTGCAGACTCTGCTCTGCTTCTGGTGCAAATACTCAAGCCTACAAGGCAGGGCAGAGACAAGACGGCTGGGCTGGGACACACACTCTGCAGGAGCTCGAGCCCCCCTCTCCATGGCTGCATTGGGCAGGGCTAGTTACGCCACTCAACTTAGCAGTACAGAGCTACAACCCGAGGTTGGTTTGAATTCTGAGTATGCTTTGGCCTCCTCACCCACAGAGGGAGCAGTGGCAGCTGCCACTGGCATCAGGATAGTTGCAATGGCTGGTGATGCAGGTGGGAATTCCCCATCATTCAGAGCCCGGCCCACATCTAACCAACTCCAGCTTCAGTGTCCTGGCTCCCAGCTCTGTGCCCAGGGTACAGAGGTGGAGATGTTTGCAGACATCCCAGCTTATGCCAAGCAAAGAAGTCAGAAGCTGCTTCTCAGGCCTATGGTTGTGGTATAGTAAATAACCCCCTTTCCAAAACAAGCCAGGGAGGGAAAGCCAGCTCTCCCGCAGCCTGGGGACCCTTTTGTCACCACCACAAATCCTGACCATGCACATCTAGCTATGAGGTGCTGTGGGCGGTAAGGGCCCTTGGCCTGGCCACAGTCCTCTCAGTGCCCAGAGCAGCCACTTTTGTGCTGGCACGTGAAAGCTGTTTTCTGGTCTGAGTCTGCAGACTTACTTCAGTAACTTGGGCTGCAGCAGACGCTGCAGGCGGTCGCTCACGACAGACTTTCTGAGCAAGGCTTTTTCCCAGCTTTTCCCTGAGGAGAAATAACCAGGATGTCACTGGGAGGTCTGGCGTGTTCCCCAAGCAGCACTTGGTTATTGAATTGCCTCTAAAATCCTGGGCATCACTGTTAGCTTCCACCTCCAGAGGAGGAGAGGAAGGAGTTAGGATCTGATGCCCTCTGGATGTCTCCATCTAGAAACACAGCTCTTCTGAGGCCTGGCACAAGCTCCAGGGCAGGGCCTGCTTGGGCTGAGCACTCAAGAGTCAAGGCAAGGAGAGACAAGAGAGAGTAGGGTGGTGGCCTTGGACTGCCCCTTGTGACCAACATCCTTTAAAGGACTCTGCTCAGCTGGAAAGGGTGGGGCTCAGTTGTGAAGTCCAGGGGCTAAGAAAGTCACAGCAGAGAGGTCTGAGAGCCATGGCACAGCCCCAGGGTGAGGCAGGGCAGTGGGGAATGCCTCCTGGGTCCCTAAGCTCAGTGGATGCCAGGGGCCTAGGCTGGGCTCTTACACTTGGTCACGAGGAGCTCTTCAAAAGCCTTGATCCCCTGGGCGGCCTTCTCCCGAGTTTCCTCGTTGGCAGGAGGCCCCTGTCAGAGCACACAGTGGCACGACATGAAGAGACTTGTGTGCTCACCCACATATGCCCTCTTGGGCCCACATCTGGACTCAGGGCCCCTCCCTTGTGGCCTCCTGATGCACCTGAGCAAGGCAAAGCCAGCCTCTGGACCTCTAGATCTACAGTTGCTGGCACATTGGTGTCTGAGGGGCATGAGCCAGCTGGCACAGGCTGGGCTCAGTGACTCCATGATGGTCGATGAGGTGAGGGCTGTAGCTGGCAACACTGGGAAGTGCACGTCACTGCACAGTGAAGACTCAAGGACCATCTCACAAGGAGACACTCCCTATAGTTCACCTGCAGTAGAGGTCAGCTCACCTCCCTCCCAGGGAGGCCTTAACTTTTGTTTTTGAGACAGAGTCTCACGTTGTCACCCCCTGGTAGAGTACCATGCAATCACAGCTCACAGCAATCTCAGACTCTTTGGCTCAAGTTATTCTCTTGCCTCAGTCTCCCAAGTAGCTGGGATTACAGGCACCTGCCACAACGCCTGGCTATTTTTAGAGACAGGGGTCTTGCTCTTGCTCAGGCTGGTCTCAAACCTGTGAGCTCAGGCAATCCACCCACCTCAGCCTCCCACAGTGCTGGGATTACAGGCGTGAGCCACCATGCAGAGGCCTTGACTTTCACCAGAGATGAGGCAAAGTTTAAGGAGGCTCAAGAATGTTACCCCAAAGAACCCTAGGGAATTCATGACCACTCAGCAGGCTGTGGGGACAAGAGCTCCCTCCCTTGGCCACTTACCACTCCGGTGACCTTGTCCTTAAAGTATGGCTTCATGAAGTGCCCTATGTACATGTTTGGGGGCAGGCTCTTGCTGTCCTTCACCTTGGGGCCTTTGGGCCCAGCCAGATCCCACATGATCTCTTCCTGCGACAAAGACAAGGGCACACCCATGGGCAGAACAGCAGCAACTCCCCTTATGCAAAAGGAGACTCTGGCTGAAAGACAGGCAGGTAGCCGGGGAGCTGGCCCTGGGAGTCTGGCTGTGAGGACTTGGGGTTGGGAGGTGTCGGCACCAGGAAAGGCTGTCACTCCACCCTACCTGCTGCTCCCGGTTCTGGGCCAGCAGCAAGCTGACCTCTGCCAGTTTCTCCCGGATGACTTCCTGGTAGACCATGTTCAACTGCAGGCAGGTCTCTGGGTCTTCAGGGAGGGTTTTATCCCTGGGATCATCCTCGTCATTACTGCCTTCAGCCCACCTCTCTTCTTCCTGGTTATGAGGAGCAATCTGCATGTGAGGAGATGGAGCATAGAGACATTCTCTCATCCTCTCAGCCCCAGTCTGAGCCCATGCACTGGAGGACAGTGAGATAGCTCTGGAATGAGACCACCCAAATGTGGACCCAAGAAATGACTGGAGGGTGGCATGCTCATGTCTGGGAGTAGAGCATGTCCCTTTCAAAGTGGACACATGGACATCTCCTATTCCACAGCACAAGGAGGCCCAAGTGCTGGGAGTGTCTAGGCGAGGAAACCAGCAGCTTCCAAATATCGCAGTGTCTCCATAAAGCCTACACAGCAACAAGCCATGGTTAGCATGATTACGCGCAGGAGCAGTCCCAGAGGGCCACCAAGAGTGGGGATGGTCAAGATGCCCATCTGCTGGTGACATGTCCAAAACCAGACAAGGGGGGCTGCATGGCCACTAAAAACAGGAGGCCACGCTGTACCTACTGACTTGGGAAAAATATAGCAAATTATAAAAGTTATCCAAAATAAACAAACATAGTTAATGATAACTGGCATACCTAGGCAGTTGCCAGTTGCTCTTGTATGTGAACTAAGTTGTGCTGTGACTGTCCCCATTGTCCTAGGGACACTGAGGCACAAAGAGGCAAGCTAGAAGGGGCAGAGCCCAGGCACAAGCCTTGCTGCTTTTTGTGACAGACTCTCATAACAAGACATGCCCATATCAATTTGTGCTTAGAAAAAAACCAAGAGGCTGTTAATAGCAGTTATTTCTGGAGACAATTTTATTTACTTTGAGACAGAGTCTCACTCTGTTACCCTGGGTAGAGTACCAGGGCTTCACATAGCTCACAGCAACCTCAAACTCTTGGGCTCAAGCAATCTTCTTGCCTCAGCCTCCCAAGTAGCTGGGACTATAGGCACCTGCCAGAAGATCCAGCTAATTTTTTTCCCTATTTTTTAGTAGAGATGGGGTCTCACTGTAGCTCAAGCTGGTCTTCAACTCCTGAGTCAAGCGATCCACCCATCTCGGCCTCCCAGAGTGCTGGGATTTCAGGCGTAAATCACCACTCCCAGCCCAAAGACAATTTTAATATCAACAATAAATACAGTAGAACCTCTGTAAGTGACCACCCAAGGGATTGTCACATACTGGTCAACATACAGAGGTGGTCAACATAAGGAACCAGGCCTGCTGTTCTGATACACACATGTGGTACATGTCCGGTCTGTGAAAATCAGGTCACCTTAAGGAGGTGGTCAGTGTAGGGAGGGGTCAACTATGGAGACTCTACTGTACGTGGTGGTCTCTCTTTTTCTATAATATACACCCTCCCAGGCTGTTCTGGAAGGTGGGGGCAGGTCTGACCTGGGACACAGCCAGGTCAGGCCAGTAGTTACCAAGACTAGGGGATCGGCAGTGTCCAAGTCCTCACCAGGCAGCGAGTCTGTCAGAAATAGAAACACAGTGTTGGTTACCCAGGCAGGAACAGGGAACCAGCATGGCCCCCACTGCCTCCTGGGCAATGCAGACAAAGAGGATCTGAGGCCCCATGGGCTTGGAGGTGATGAGAGCCTCGGGGTGAGATCTGTGGTGAACACTCACTCTCCCTCCCTGATGGGGTAGGGAGAACATCTGACTGAGGCAGGGTCAGCCTGAAAAGATGCTAGCCCAATACTAGGTGCCCCTACCCACACAGGGACAGAACTAGAGTTCACTAGACCATGTGTGCTGTCTTGTACCAGAGAGACAATGGAGGAAGGTTCTACAGAACATAGATGGTCTGAGGGAGCTCAGCCAGTCAGAAGGGAGGGCAGAGACACAGAGCCTCTGACTACAAAAGACAGAAGGTTCCCCCAGAGTTTCTGTGGGCCCAGGAGAGGTGGGAAGTGAGGCTGGGACTGGCTATAGGCAGGTCTCCAATCAGAGAAGCGCTAGTCAGGGTTTACGGAGGCTCATGGGGAGGGAGAATTTGGGCCTCCAGGATCCCTTTAGGAGCTACTGCACGAGACTCTGGGGTATGAGTAGTCTGTAGTAGTAATGACGGTATAGGCTGGGTCACAGGATAAGCTCTGGGCCCAATCATTCCTAGGATGGGACACTGCAAAGTCCAGCACAGGGACAAGGCACGTTCACCCCGAAAATCCTTTCTCCTACCTCTTCAGGGGGCAGACACACCACCAGTGACAAGAGGCACTGTTAAGAGCCCTCGACCTGGGTTACGGGCTGAAGCCCGTGTTGGCAAGAATCAGGGCCCGGGACAAGCAGCACCAGAACATTTTATTTTATTTTATTTTATTATTATTATTATTTTTGCAGTTTTTGGCCTGGGCCAGGCTTGAACCCATGACCTCTGGTATATGGGGCTGGAGCCTTATTCTTTTGAGCCACAGGTGCCACTCCCAGAACATTTTACTTAATGGGGCCAAATGAGAGTGAAGGCAGCATAGCAGTTCTTACCAAGTGCACAGCAGCTTACCTGCTTCAGAATCTGAATCGAGACTTGATTCTGACACTTCCATAGGGACACCTGAGGAGCTGGGATCCAAAATCCTCTCCAGCTCCTTGATCTCCTTTGTGATTCTCTCTCTTTCCGCATCTATATCCATGACTTCTACTGGCTTCCAAATCACACTAGGGGTCAGAAGCCAAGACTTCTCGTCCAGCACACATGTCTGCAGATAACAGCAGATGCCTGCTGCAGGACAGGTACCAGTCTCCTGGGACAGAGATGCACACCCTCCTACACCCCACATGTGCTGGCTCTGCACTCTGCCACGTACCAAAGCCCTGTGAATGTCTCTTGGCTGCTCTGTGGCTATGATCAGCATAGGTGCAGTAGATGGACACTCATGTGGTCCAACTGCCTGGTCTCTGCTCCCATACCCACAACACAAAGGAGAGCTGGTCACCCAGTGCAGAAGGCACAATCTGCAGGGGCAAAATCCCTAGTGGATAAGGATGAGGCCCACAGTCCCTATGAAATCTAAACTTGTGACCACAGCTTCAGGCATATCCTTCTGTCTCATGGCACAGAGCTGTACCTGCAGAGGGTGCAGCAACATTTGACAAATGTTCCCTGGAATGCAGGCTGACCAGGTGGCAGGCACTAATATCACTGGGAAATAAGCTCCCCAAAGGCAAAACTATTCACTGCTGCACCCCACCATCTAAACAGCACCTGGCACACAGCAGTGTCTGGAAACCCTCCAGGAGGAAGGAAGCTGAGAAGAGAGAGGGGTGGGAGAATAAGGCACTAACAGAAGAGATTCCAAAGAACAAGTACAGGAGCCTAAAGCAACAGACAACAAAACAAAGTATCCTCCCTGCCCTTGGCCCCAGCTCTCCCTCCTGGAGGCTCTGACAAGAGCCATACTTGAATGGGATAGAACAAAGGAACCCTGCAACCAGCACCATCAGCTGCCCCAGCAGCAGTTCCTCTTTCCTGCACTGGAGTAATCACTTATACCTGAAAGATTTCTAAGCATATAAAGTGAACTCAGCTAAAAGCCAGCAAGATCTGCAGACCTAGCAGAAACCACTGACAAGTTCAAGGCTGCCGTTTCCTCCAGGCAGGCCAGGGAAGGGATGTTTTGCTCTGGAAGCCCAGCCTTGAAGGAAAAGGCAACTTGTGTTTTGAAGACAGCTTCATTTTCACCTCGTTCCTTCACCCCTTTCCCTTGCTGCTCATGAGAGTAATGGCCAGTAGGAAGGAGGTCAGAGTCATAATCCAAGTCCTGAGCCTTCTGCCGTCTGGCCCCCTCCCTCCCGGTGGGTGTTCACGAGGGGCTGCCTACCAAGACGGTGGGCAAATGTCAACCCACTCCAGCCCCAGATCCTGAGGCCCCACCGCAGGCTCAGCGCTCCCCAAAGAGGCCAGGCCTCCGCCTAACCACTGGCCCCCAACCCAAGGAAGGCATGGGTACCGGACGTGGGGGAGGGAGTTAAAGGCGCTAGCTTGGGAGACAAACCGGCTCAAGCCCCGTATTTGTCCCTTGCTAGGCCCTGGGCAAACCCATCTCCTCCACGCTTCAGGGGCCACGCCTGTAAGATGCGAGTCTCCGACACGATCCCCGAAAAGCACCGGCTGCAGGACCCGGAGCACGAGGGCGCCATGAACCTGGGGCCCCGCGGAATGAGAGGACGGCGGGAGGGAAGGGAAGCCGCCTCTGCGGAAGCCCCGGGAGCCGCGTCCGCGGGGGTCCCAGGCGGGGGCCGCAGTCTATTCCCAGCCGAGTGGCTCTCCGGCTGGAATCCACAAGGGCCCAGCCCAGCTTTCCGGGTCTCCACTCGACAGGGTCGCGGCCACGCCGGATCTCAGTTTCTAGTCTTTCGTGGCTCCTCGACCCCCTCCCCTGGCCTCGGCTGTCCGCTCTTCGGGACAGCAACCCCCACCCCCGCGCGGGGACAGCTCCTTGGCTGTCGGCCCTGCCCAGCGCCTCACCGACGCCATGCTGCACTCACCTACCAGGCGCGCTACTAAACCGCTTGTGGCCGGCACCGTCGCCCGGGCGACACTCACACGGCGCTTCCGGCGGCCACGGGACTAGAGCTACGCACCGGAAGTCCCGCCACCAGAGGCGCGAGGCACGCCGGGATGGCCGCTGCAGCCCGCGGGGACTAGGGAGAGGCAGGCTGCTCGGTGCTGCCCTCGCGCGGCCGCCCTGGGGATCGCCTCCCGCACGCCCCGGGCGGGAGAGTCCAGCCAGCACAGATGCAGGTAGGCCCTGGGCTCGCATGGTCACCGGATTACGACGCGGCTCCCACGAAGCCCAGCGAGGCAAGGTGACGGGGGCAGGCTCTCGTTGGCTGTGTAAACTTTAGCAGTTCCTGGACCTCTCAGTGCTCGTTTCACCCTCTGTGAATGGACTCTCAGGGTTTGGTTGGGCAAGCAACGAGAGGGTAGTTGTGAGATTTCCTGGCCCCAAACGCGCAGTACCGCCCCTGGCCGACCGTCTCCAGCTGGTGCAGGAGACTGAGCACCTGCGGGGTCAGAGGTGGGCCCTTAGGGTGCGGGACACACCTGGGATGCTAGTGCAGCTGGTCTTGGGGAGACGTGGGGCTGAGTCAGCGGGAGAACTATCAAGCCCTGGCCACCACGGATGTGGGCTGGGTTCCTGGTGGCAAAAGGCTACAGCCAGGTAAGGCCAAGCCCAGAGTTTGGGATCAGTGTGAAAGCAGAATTGAGATGAAACTATTAAACTGTTGGTCCCTTTGTGGTCACTGAGCCTCCTGCTTCATTCCTTGACTTGTGAAGGGACCTGTCCTCGAGGGGCACAAAGCCCAGAGGCAGAGACGGACCTTACATGAAGTGCCATGAGTTTTAAGATGGAATACTTCAAACACACCAGGAAGAGAAATGTAACAAACGACTGTGTATCCTTGCTTCACCTGGAGTCACCTTAGTCGCCTGCTGGAGTGTAGGGAAGGCACATCTGAAGGAGGCTCTGGTGTCCACCCTGGTGATCAGCTTGCTGTCCTCCCATCCCATGAAACACCATCTCATCCTAAAGGCCCTGGAACAGGTCTACAGCCCTAGCATCTTCTGGCAGCCTTAGCTCTGCTGCTCTAGTCTTCCTGACACTACCCTGTAGACCAGCAGTTCTCAACCTGTGGGCTGCGACCCCTTTGGGGGTCAAATGACCCTTTCACAAAGGTCACCTAAGACCATTCTGGATATCAGATATTTACATTACAATTCATAACGGTAGCAAAATTATAGTTAAGAAGTAGCAATGAAAATAATTTTATGGGCTCGGTGCCTGTAGCTCAACTGGCTAAGGCGCCAGCCGCGTACACCTAAGGTGGCGGGTTTGAATCCCCA